AAAATTTATCTCAGTGCACCAGTGCGTGGGAAAGATATTTTCTCATGACTGTCTATCCATACAAAGATATTGCTTTGTAAACATGCGACTGACAGGATGTTTGTGCTATTTACAGCCATTAATGGCCTTTTGCTTCCGAACGAATTTAAATTATAATCAAGTCAAGAGCTAAAATGAAAGTACTATGGTGAATTATAATTGCAAATTATGAAAATTCGCCGACAACTTAAAGGAGTTTTTCTTTTTCTCTTGCTCTGCAGCCTAAACAAGCAGTCTTAAACGTTTAAATATGCAAAGTCAAAGAAAATTACTGAGTTATTGCGCATTTGGTTTGTTATTACCAAAAACAGATGCATCAATTTAACGTTCATGCACATTTAACCCAACATCAGTAATATAAAAATCAGTTGCACACATACATTGACATAATTACAGCTAAACTACCCCAAATTTCTTGCGACTGGATCTTCACTGCATCACTCCATAATCTTCTGATCGAACAAATTAATGCAATCAAGAAAAGCTTGAAAAACGCTGTGATGTTTATGTTAGTAAATCCCCTCCGCTAAGGAATCGTGGCAAAAATTTTTTCAAAGAGAGAAACTTCAACCCGCCGCCAAGGTCTGTCACCTCGTGGAAATAGCGTGCCAAAAAAGATTAAGAAAGCGAGTNCCACGTGTTTATTGATGTATCAACTGGTTATACTCTCAAATATGAGCATATTAAATAATCTACAGGTACTAAATTACACAACCCAAAAACGTAACTTTTCCCTTGATCAGTCTCGCTTTCGCATGAAGAAACCTTAGACGCAAACAAGGCACCCTTGGTGCATTTGATGGCCTTTTTCACGTCTTAATCAACTTTCTACCTACATTTCTTTCAGTCAATCTGACAAATAAAAACATCTTTCATGGCGGACTCAAACCTTGTCAAGTTCGAGATTCCACCAAGGAAATTCTTCATTAGGCTCGAGTTGACAACCAGGCAGAATCGACTTTTAACAACTACATTGTCATGAAACTAATTGGAGCGTAATCTCTGAACTCCTACGAAACTGCGGGATACTGAAACATGATTTCGCAGACGTCACTTTTTCCGCGCGAAAGGGAATAGTAGGCTATCTCCAGGCTATCTCCAGGCTATCCTCGGTTTTGAATTTTGGCGCGCAAGTAACAACCAATCAGCGCCCGTACATGGATCTCTGTAGAC